GAATGATTCTGTTTGTTCTGCTGGATCTGCAGATGTATGACTGACCATTCTCAAAACACTTGTTTTAGGAAAGACTGTTAACCTGTAAATAAAACCAACTTTGTCATATATATGTGGATTATTTCCACAATGAGTTACAATAGCGCCAAAAGAAAATAAATAATTGCCATTTGACAGCTATTGTGACCTTGTTTYGTGAAAGTTAAGGGTAATATTAATCATAAGGAAAAGCTAGGCATGTCRTGGTGTCAAGATCTGAAGCACCTTTAAAGGACATCACTCTTAATTACCAAATATAGTTCTTTGGAATATGGCTACCAAACTGTTCAAGAGTTTGAAGATGTCTTTAAGCAGTTAAGGCAAACCTACTCAGTAGTGTTCAAAATGTTAAAAGAACTTAAAGAGACTTCTCTTTGCTTGAGTAATTACTGGRGCCAGTTGAGTGAGGCTTTGAGRACTTTGTCTAGTTAAAGGTRTCCYTACTCATGGCAGGATGGTTGGAATTACRTGGTCTTTAAGCYCCTTTTCAACCTAAACCATTCTGGGATGCCATGACTGCTTTTTGGGACRTAATATTTCAGAAACCTGGTACTACTGTAGAACACATTGGATAAGGAAATTGCTAGGAAAATGGAATCTAACATGCCTTTTTATTAAGAGGTGTGAAGAAACATAATTCCACAGCACTGGTAAAACTTAGTTTGTACAAATAGATGACCTGTATCCTTGAGGCCTTTCTCTGGAATTGAGGTGTGTTACACCTAAACGTGTAACATTTATGGCAAGTGAGAACGTGATGATAATGAATGGTACTTCTGTAATCTAGCTTTATTTTACCTGCAGTTCTTCTTTTTTTTTTATCCTCCCAGTGGTCTGTGTGCTGTGACATGTACATRTAGCCTGGAAGAAGGGATACTATAGAAATTAACTGAGACCTGGACTTCTTTCAAAAATAAAAATTAAGGAGAAGCCCCTCAAAGCAAGGGTTTTTTCATTGCTGTCTATATAACAGCAGTATCCTGGCTTCTTTTTTAGTTCTTGTTCCATAGGTAGTCCTAAAAATTGGACTGACCAAAATACARGCTAGCTAACAATTGTTTCCCAGTAATTGTGATACAAAAATATAATACAGTGTTCTCTCATGTTACTTCAAAYTGTGCTTTGTTTACAGATACTTTTTCTGCAGTTACCAAATACAAGAATATGGTGTCAAATGTTTGAGCCAGCCTTAACAAAAGTGAATGGTGCTTCAACATAGTACTGCCTAAAAATCTTTTCATCTTTTGTATGAAAGTATAGCTTCTCTTAGTGTCAGAATAGACCAGTCTTACTGCTTTGGATACTCTTGTTCCAGTATTATTGAGACAGCAGGTTAAGAACTGCATATTTGAAAATCCTGTGCAAATTGTGACTATTCAGTCCTTCATAAATTAGAGTAAATGAGGTATTTTGAGAAATGTTGAAGTTCCAATACTGGATGAGAAATACCAGTTGAGAGCTGACTTTGTGAAAATGACCTTTACATGAAAATCAGATGACTAACATGCTAAATWAAACTCCATGTTGTTCTTAAGTTCTAGCATAAAGAGCCAAATGCAGACATGCTTTCTTWTGCTTATGTCTCAGAGCTGTGCCCCACATCAACTGTTTTCTTTCACATAACAGGCAAATGGGGATGCAGAAAGCTAAAGAGCTGCACAGGAGTAGGTAGGAGCTCAAGATAAAAGTTAGGACCTTTCCTCTTTTAGCATCTTCTTAATTCCTGAGATTCTTTGAAATATGTTGTTCCTTAAGGCAATTACAATTCATGCTGTAAAGTTGCTGGTTAAGAAGCTCTGCTTCTTGATGAGGTAACATTTATTTTTAGAAGGTATAGAGGTGGTTCCAAAAAGAAAACTTGTTCCTAAAACCTGAATGTATCCCTTATAGGAATTTTATTTATCCTTTTGTGTGACTTGGCCAGTTTTGTGTGAGTTTGAGACTTCCCCAGTAGTTGGTCCATATTTTACAGCAATTTGGTATGCATTTCAGGCCTAGGTGTTAGCAAGATGGCCACTTTTAGGCCATTGCTTCCTGGTTGCTGAAGTATTCGAAGGCCAGTTTATGGGTGTCTTCTGTTTTTGATCTGGGAATGTTTTGGATTTGACCAAAAAAATTGAATRGATATTTTTTCTGAAGTAACAAGGACAACATGAAGTTAACAGGAACCACACCCCTTATGGGTATGTGAATGAATATTTGAATTGGGGACAGGAACTTAGCAGAAAAACCTGTGCACTTCTGGGGAATTCCTTTTACAGCCAGTAGCAGAGGATGATTAGGCAATTGGTGCTGTGTCTGTCTCTCTGGCCAGTCAGATTGGCAGCAAGGGACTGAAAGCTTCGAGCAGAGTGGCATTTGTCTTTTTCATCAATAGAGTTGCTGATTTCTTTTTGAATATGGGAGAAACAGGTTGAAAAGGTACTGTAAAGGGAAGCACTTACCTTCTTACAGATCATACCTACAGATCAGATGATATGTAACACCTTTAATTATCAATGTAAACAAACTTTTGACCACAATATGCACTCTGCTTGAAATAATCTTGATGATGCATCAGAAATGGTGGATCAATATGCCTTGCAATCCATTTAAAAGTACCCGGAAGGAACACAACTTTTTCCTGCAAGCTGTAGCTATAATTGTTTTGCTTAATAAGTTAATATGAGAACACAAGCACCACTCTACATTTTAGGTTCTTAGGTTAGTCTTCATCTGTACTTCAGATACTCTTTGATCTTCARTGCTTACTTGGATGTCATTAAATATCTGAAAGTAAAATCTTTCTCTTAGCTAACTCCACTAGTGAGATGAGTACTTGTGGGGAAAAGAAGGAAATAACTAATGTAGTTTGCTCTCAGTAAATGCATAATTCTAATGTTTCAACTGCGCACAATGTAAACTTTACCAGATTTTGCTGATCACTGCCTCAGCAAACTACTGTATGTAATGTGATGGTGAGAAGTGGAATCTTGACTTAGTAGATGAACATTAAGTACATGCATTCCAAAGTATAAGCAATTAGACGGGTTCAGATTTTTTTCTATACCGTCACTAAAATGTTCTGTCATATGCTTAACTTCAGTAGACAGAAGGAATAGAAGAGTGTGTGTGTTAAGAAAAAGCCTTGTGAAAGCTAAAATGTTATTCTGCTCTAGTTTTGAGTTAGGCTGTTGCTTTTGTAGGTGCTCTAAAAGTGTATTTTTTCTTGTAGGAAGCATCAGAGAGGTTATTGCCTGGCTGGTGGGTTAAATATGCCCTTTTCTTAGAGATGCAGAGATCCCAGTATGATTGCTAAGAGGGAGAAAAAGCATCCAAAATCACTACTTGTTTTCTTGRGGGTTTATTGTTCATGCGTGTTGTGTGCAGGTATCATACACTTGTCAATCATRAATTTAGAAAAGGTAGATGAATGACTGTGGATTTCAGAAGCACTGCTGAGGGATTAGTTTAGAAATRCTTCTTGGCTGTTCCTGTATTATTTGTATGAATGTCATATATTTGGGATCTGAACTTTTACCCCTTCTCTTTTTCAGTGGTTGAGCAGCACCTAGGAAGTCAGTGGGATTTACATGCTGACCATGTTAAATGTCATCTTTATTTGGTAGGGATGAGGCTGAGGGACCAAACACAATCACTTGACTTTCCAGGCTCTTCTGGTTTTACATTGTCCTCTAAGCAGGTTGCATGTTCTTACGCCAAGTCGTGTGGTATACAGTTAGGGAGACTGGCAGCTCTAGTGACATCATGACAACTTAACTGTACATAAAGCATGGCAAACTGGCAGCTTGTGTTGGCATGYAGAGACTTGAGGGGGTAGTAGTGCTGAACTTCTCTTAGAGGAACTATTAAAATAAGAGAGAATCCCAATTTACTGGTAGATAYAGAGCAATTTGTACATGGTAATACTGTTTTTGCCATAGGAGTTGAACAGAGTAAGAATAATAGGTACATTACAACTGTGGTAAATGGTTTCACAAAACTTTAAAGATGGGGAAGTGGCCCTTGTTTTTACTAGAGCGATGTCTCTTCTCTAGAGATGAATTTAATTCTGTTCTCCTTGTAGAAAACGTTATAAAACATACTAGCTTATCTGTTTTTTTAATCTTACAAAACTTCTGCGWATTAACAGATGCAGCCTGGAACAAATCCTGAGTAATAATGGATTGTTCTATTTGTTCATGTTTAAAAAACCCACATCTAAATGGATTTTTTTTTTTTTTAATTTGGCTAAAGGGCAAACACAGGTTTATTTGTCATCTGTTCTACCTATAGTGTACCATAAAAAAGAATCTAATCCAGGCCCATGTTTCTCACTTATCTGACATTTCAGACATTTAGTGGGTATTAGAGTAGCTATATAAACACTTTTTTTTACTTGGTTGAATATTCATTTAGAGCCAATGAAATTTAATGGAGCCATTTATTGAGCAGATTTTCTAGATGAATCTAAATTACCTTATGTCTTCCAAAATTAGATTTTTTTTAGTGTCCTTCTGGTTTTTTTTTTCCTATCACCTGAACTAACAAGATTTGTCTGATCTATATGGACAAGCCATAGTAATATCTGTGGCAACCCTTGTCAAAACAGGGATATTTTGCATGGAAGATCTCTTGAGTAGTAAAATTCAATGTTGCTGCAAATATATATTAGTCTTAATTCTGATAACTGATGAAGCAAGTGATATGATCATTAAATTCTGTGTATCCTGTCCTTTAAAAAAAAACCAAGCCTAAGTTGGTACTAGTTCTTAAACTGATAGGAAGTTTATCAAGTTACTTAATAGGAATTGTCTTGAATTATTTCAAGTAATAGTCTACGTCTGCTTTGCCTTTTGACTGTAAATGTAAGTAGAGTTGGATGGAACTTAAAAATGCCTATTCTGAGAATAAGATTTTTGTYCACTGTCACATTACTAGTTATGAAGATCCTCAATATCTCTTTTGGGGTTCTTTTGCAGATGATTCAGCTCTAGAAGAAAGATTTGTCTTCACAAATTCCTTTGAAAGCACAATGGACACATTTTAGAAGTCATCTAAGAACAAGAACACTGGACTTTGAGGAATAACAGAGTTCAGAGAGCCCAGAAATTGGTCACTAATAAACCCGCTTTTGCCACACAGCTTGGAAATGAATACCATTGAAACAGCAAAGCTTGAAGAGCATATGGAGGGTCAAACAAATGACACTTCTAATGGCTACTCACGACCTGCAGTCTCAGTCAGTGAAGAGAACAAAAATGGCRCTAGCAAGCCAAAGGGCTTGTCTAATGGCTTGCGAAAAACAGCAAAGAAGTATCCTGATTACATCCAGATTGCTATGCCTTCTGAATCTAGGAACAAATTTCCTCTGGAATGGTGGAAAACAGGCATTGCCTTTGTCTATGCTCTCTTCAACTTGATTTTAACAACTGTCATGATCACTGTAGTACATGAGAGAGTACCTCCAAAGGAGCTAAGCCCTCCCTTGCCTGACAAATTTTTTGATTACATTGATCGTGTGAAATGGGCTTTTTCTGTATCAGAAATAAATGGAATGATACTACTTGGATTATGGATATTCCAGTGGTTGTTTCTTAGATACAAGTAAGCTATTTTTTTTCTTTGCTGTAAGTTTTAATTGCTCATTTTGGATAGAAGAAATCGTGCTGTAAAATCCGTAACAATACTGTAGAATAGGGTTTGCAGGAAATAACAAAGGGATTAGTTGTTTGCAGAATGTTCTAGTGTCCATGCCAGATGTGGAAATACAAGTTTTCTTATTATTGAATGATATTTTTCAATTCTGAATTTATGACACCTGTGTTGTACTAGTCAAATCATTGAGATTGGGCTTTTCAAAGATGTTTAAACCTGTACATATTTAATTCAAGAATGTGGTTATAGATGAAACTAAAAAGAGAAGGTCACTGAATTCAGGAGAACTCTCTGCACCTTTAAGTTAGACTGGGGRCATGCTAAATTGATGGGAGCTTTGGACTATAAGGAGCTAATAAGACTAAAAGCTGAAGAAGAACTTTTTAATATTTGGTTCAGAGAAGTGTGTGGTGAAGAGCTGGAGTGGAGCTGCTCTTTCATTCTAAGGATTTAGCTGTGTAATGAAGGTAGATCTCCATAACTTGTTACATATCCTGCATACAGTCTTTGTACTAATTTTCTCCTTTTTCCTTACTTTCAGATCAATAGTGGGACGCAGGTTCTTTTTTATAATAGGAACTTTATATCTGTACCGCTGTATTACCATGTACGTTACCACCTTACCTGTGCCTGGAATGCATTTTCAGTGTGCACCAAAGGTAAGAGCCTTTGCTTCTTGCCTTAGTCTCTGCGTGCGTCCTGATGGTTCCTTAGGACAAATAGAAGATAATGCTTCAGGTATTACTAAATAAGCTGTGAGCTGATGTCTTCAGAAACATATAGGTAGTGATAACCCGAAAGTTGTGTGATACAGAAAGAGCCTCCASTTGATGCAGTTGGGTACTCCCTTTYGAAACATCTTACGTAGAAATAGTGCTGCTRCTAAGTCAATAAACTTGCTTCTGAAGCTCAAGGTATTAGCTCTTAATACTGCAGTAATATTACTTCTTAGAATGGTAGGATACCCAAAGTGAGTACTGTAGTTTGTGGGCTGATATGCAAGCTTCTGTTGCTGTATCCCTTTAAAAACCCACACTGTTAATGTGCTTTGTCTAATTTTTCACACTGTTTGGTCAAGAGCTCTTGCAATACCTGAAGTCAGCTGCCTATCTCTGCTTCCAACCTGCAAAATGTGTAGGAATATGACTTTAAGTTCAGCTTCATAAATGAACTGATACTTATAGAAACATGGATGTGCTAATAGTTTTGCAAAAGTGTTTAGAAAATTTAATGACACTGGAGTTAAGTGGTGATATAAACGAGTTGTTACCCCCACTCTAGGTTACTAATAAACAGTTGTAGAGTTAAAGTTCCTTGGAACAAAMTGTATTGTGTTGGCTGTACTGAAAAAAAAGTATTGCCAGTTTAGTGGGGGAATAAATTTGTTACCTTGTGGATGGGATCTCCAGTCTTGAGTTACAGCATCATGGCTGTTGTCTTCTAGATTGAGACAACTTGGGGACATAGTGGACAAATTACTTCTCTTATGAATCAGTGTCTATTTGAAAATGCTTTATTTACCTGCCGCTGTTATAAAGCTTTAGCTGTTTTGCTCTAATATCTTGGGGAATGGCTGTGCGTTGAGGAGTGAGAAGAAGTAATCAAAGGAAAATGTGACTGTCTCTGCTGAAAGTGCATTCTGCTTGCATTAAACCATGATACATTGCTTGGACTGTGCAATAACACTTGTTGATAATTCTGGATTTTTTTTTTGTCAGATGTGAATAGTTTTCTGATTATGGAAAACACAGTTTTTCTTGTTGGGGGTTTTTTTTGAGTTAATTTAAAACAGCTAGGCAAAACAGAGTGTATACCTGGTCTCTATGAGAAATCAAAAGCTGCTCCTAATGCATGCTTTAAAAATGTACATMCTCCAAATATGAGTAGATCCTGACTGAGTTCATAACTAAATCTAAAATGAAGTAAGTTTAAGGTTTTTACTCTAGAAACACTGTTTTCTCTTAACAGAATAAAAGAATTGATAAGCAACGTTGTACCAGTTTTGAATGGGCTTCRTACACACTGTCATGAGAGATCCAGCCTTAAAAATTTTCAGTGTTTACTTTTTCAGTGTGTTCTGCATCTCATCCTCATACACTGCATATTTTAGAATAGCCTGGGAAAGCATASACAGAATGCTAGTGTTAGCAAAATGATCTTTACCACCTGTCAACTTTGAAATGCATGCTTATTTWTTTAAGAATATATGAAAGAAAGCCAAAGAAAATTAATATAGTTTGTCCTTTTATCCCTGTCTCCCTGACCATACATGTGTTCTGGCAAGAAATTTACTTTTGTCACTTATGGTGTATCTTAAAATTTATTTTGTACTTCTTTCTGGTGTTCTAGTTGAATGGAGACTCTCAGGCAAAGGTTCAGAGAATCCTGCGACTGATTTCTGGTGGTGGTCTGTCCATAACTGGATCACACATCCTGTGTGGAGACTTCCTGTTTAGTGGACACACCGTAGTCTTAACGCTGGTCTATCTGTTCATCAAAGAGTGTAAGTGATGSTATTTCAATGCACTTTTTGTTCATATTTGTTGTACTGGGAAAACATGATAAAAGTATGTGTGAAACTCTTGCCCTCCCAAAGTTACTCGGCAGTTGTACACAGACTGTATTTATATGGGTTTRAAAAACAAATTGAGTGGAAATGGAACCATGGCTGTAGTGAAATCATAAAATGGTTATAGTTGGGAAGGACCAGTGTAGGTTATTTTGCCCAACCTTTCTGGTCAAGCAGAGTTCCCTAGAGCACATTGCACAAGTTGGTTTCTAGGCAGTTCTTGACTGYCTCCAGTGARGGAGACTTCACAGCCTCTCTGGGCAATCTGTTCCAATGCTTGGTCACTTGCACAGTAAACAAGTTCTTCCCTACCTTTAGGTAGAACTTCCTGTGCTTTGTCTCCTGACTGATGCTCCTTGTCCTATTGCTTGGCACAGCTGAGAAGAGTCTGGTTCTGTCATCTTAACACTTCTGTACAGATACTTAGAGCCATTAATGAGGTCCCCTCTCACACTTCTCCAGTCTTAAACAGGCCCATTTTCCTCAGTCTTTCCTCATAAGAGAGGTGGTGCTCCAGACTGGTAACCACCCTCATAGCCTTCCACTGAGCTCATTCCACATCTGTCTTGTACTGGGGAGCCTGGAACTCCAGATGTGGCCTCACCAGGGCTGCATAGATGGTCAGGACCACCTCCTTCAACTTGCTGGCAATGAGCTTACTAATGCATCCCAGGATACTCTGCCCTTTTTGACCCTGAGAGCATTGGTCATGAACAATTTGGCCATCAGGACCCCCAGGTACTTTCACAGCAGACCTGCTTTCCAGCAGGTTGGCCCCTACCCTGTTGCACCAGGTTCTTCCTTCCTAGGTGCAGGACCCTGGACTTGCCCTTGCTGAGTTTGGAAAGGTTCTGTTCTTTCCACCCTCTCAGTATGTGAGATCTGACAGGCAGAACAGCACCACTCCTCTGAGCTTTGTATCTTCAGCAGGCTTGCCAAGGATGCACTCCATTCCCTTCATCTAAGTTGTTGATGAATAAGTTAAACAGTACTGGGCCYAGTATGAACTTTGGGTTGAACTAAACTCTGATTAGAAACACCTTTCAAGTCCTGCCATTCAGCTAGTTCTCAGTCTTCCTCACTGATTGTCCAGCCTTGCCTGTGAGAATATCATGGGAAGCAGTGTCAGAAGCCTTGCTGAAGTTGACATAGATATCATCTAATTCTCCCACATTATGTGTTGAGCCAGTTGTCCAGATTTTAAAGGCAATCAGGCTGCTTAAGCATGATTTCCCTATGGTGAATCCATGCTAATTACTGGATCGCCTTCTTGTCTTCCACATGATTAGTGATGGCTTCAAGGGTGAGCTGTTCCATCAYCTTCCCAGGGATTGTGGTATGGCTGACCAAAAATACTTTGGGCTTTAATTAAGGGCTTAATGTGGCTCAACATGTTACCTCTATCTTTATGTCAGTATTTATTGGTTGGTTAAAACAGAAGATTTTCATCATTTGTGGACAGGTTTTGCGAATTTTGGATAAAACATACTGTAGCTAATTATGCACAGTAGCTCTGTGCAGGCTAGCTGCAGGGGACTGTAGGGAATATTGTGGCTTGAACACGGTATCATTACACACTTATACTGCATCCAGAAGCAAATTTGCTTTTCTCAGATATGCTGGCCATTAGTTTCTGCAATCTATGAAAAGTTCATTCATGTTCTTTGGATGTCTTGTGCTTGAATCTGCTGCTTAATGCTTCTTGTAGTTGGTAAGAATTTGGCAAGCATGCAGAAGATGCAGTTATGTTTTTTCCCTTTGCTTTATATTGCTCTGGGACTTGGGAGGAAAAATATGTGCTACACTCAGAGCATCTATTGAAATGGTAGAGAACTGAGCACTGACTTCTAAATCTGATATATGGTTAGTAGTGCTGCTGTCCTGAAAGCTTGGCTGCTCATGAATACATAGTGGGGAATTCCTTTCTCAGTTCACATCTTTGGAGTTGGAGTCTTCCCTCTTCTGTTGTATCCCAAACTATACAAATGCTGGCTTGGCTCATGGGAGTGTGTAATTCTCACTGAAACAAAAATAAGACTGACCACCACTAGTTGGATGCCTTCCTTTTATTAAAATGTTGAGGGAATGAGTTGCTGTATTGCTGCATTGCTGCATTCTGCCTTAAACAAAAAACACAATATAGAAGGGCCTCTTAAATATGATGGACTCCAAATGTGCAGATTTGAGGTGTTGTTTTTTGAACAGTGATGTAAGATGCTATTATAGTCTGATTCTTAGACTTAGGTCTTTCTTGTGAAGAGAATGTTGCTGGGGGAATGGCATTTGTAACTCATCAAAATTACTAGAGCAGTATTAGGAAAATAGCCTAATAATAGCTATTGTTTGTCTTYTTTTGTCTGTTACATTGCATTTTAATGCTATTCACATACTCAGTTGCACCCAGAAAGATGAAGACAGCTCAGTATTTTCTGGGCTAGTTTTGCTTCTGTACTTTGGACTGTATAGGATTGGAGAACTTGTATCATACAAATTTTTACAATAAGTCCTTTGACTCATGCCTAATTGTTATACAGCACTTCATTGAAATATATGCTTAAGCGAGAAATGCATAGCTTTTGGTTTTTTGCATCCCATATAATTATCAAAACATTACCTGAACCAGGGCATAAGCCCTAAAACTGCTCTGAATTAGAAGCTGCTTTTAAGTGGTCTGTTTTGCTCTTTTGGTAATGTCTCTTTGGTGTAAGATGCATTCTGAGGTTTTTATGTCTGGTGTAGTGGAGTTTTTGCTCTCCTCTTTCTTTCATACTCTGCCATTTTTTTCACTTACTCTTCTGCACTCATTTTTTTTTCACCAGAATAGTTATTTGTATTTTTAGCCTTGGTATGTCTGTCTTGCTCAGTGCCTCTGAGAGCTTACTGGGTAGGCTTGTTGAGATCAGTTAACTTTTCCGCTGGTGTTGTGTGAAAGTGAACGCTGGCCATTGCCCCAYAAGGCAAGGGGTGCCAAAATCTCCCACTGTGAGTGAAATGAAGCCAGTTAGCTTGTCAGAAGTTATGAATGGTCRTTGTGACACCAGGGCATTTTTCAATGGGGAAAGAAGTACAGGAGAACTTTTCTGTTGAAGTAACTTAAATGCATTTTGAATAGCTCCACTCCCATTTGTTAAATCTTTAATTGAAAGGGTATAAATTTGCATAGTGTCCTGTGTACACTGTATGCTGTTTCACAGAACTGAGGCTTCATGCAAATTGAGATTAAAGAAAGAATTATTAAGACTTTTTTAAGAATTTGAGTGTCTTTTTAATCTGTGATCTCTGCTAAGGTTGTGTCAATTCTAGATACTTGAGTTTACTCAAGTATSTAGAATTGTAAAAAGAGAAGATTAAATGCTCAACTCAGGTTAAATAACCAAAGTGTATGTTTTGCCTCAATTCTGTCTCTTCCTCTGCACCCCAAATCCTAGAAGTGATTTAACTGGARAACTTAATTTGACTAGAAAATGGATGATAGTGCTGTCTAACTAACCCATCTTGTGTTCACTTTGAAAAGTAAGAWTACCTCAGTAAATTTTTGTAATTCATTAGTCTTGTTTTCTGTGTCAAAGCAGGGGGCTTGTAGCACTGTGATATRAGTTATGTTTTCAAATTTAATAGCCTCAAATTAATTTTTTATCTTTTCCACTTCCTTTTGTTGATTGCCATAATAACATAGATGGCTTTTTCTATTTTTTTCCCATCACCTCTCTGTTTCACAGATTCACCACGTCATTTCTGGTGGTATCACTTAATCTGCTGGCTAATGAGCGCTGCTGGCATCATTTGTATCCTGGTTGCTCATGAACACTATACCGTAGATGTCATAATTGCCTACTATATCACCACACGGCTCTTCTGGTGGTACCACTCAATGGCTAATGAAAAGGTGAGTGTCAAATACCTTCAGAATTAATACATAGCCTGCATTTGTTAAAATTGCCTAAAAGTTAAAGTTAGTTCTTATTTTTGGAATAAGAATAGGGGTTCCATATTGAAGTTAAAACATAATGGGCAAGAAGTTTCACTTCACTGTTATTTAAGTAAATAATATTAGTACATCTTACAAATGGCTTTTTTGACCTTTGAGGCTTTAATGCTGTAGTTGATGTATAGAATAGCCCTTCTTTGTCTCARCTTTTGAATAAACAGTAGTTGAGTAGTAAAATTTCTGGCCAACTGAAATTACCTAGACAATCCTAAAATTCTAGTGACAGTTCTTCTGTAAATGTCATTAAAGGTACACTGTTCAGAATGTATCTGCTGCAATTGTTTCAACAGCTCCTTCAAGTAGAAGCTTAGCTCTCAGGCCCATTTAATCTAATTCTCAGCTATTAGTCATCAATGGAAATTCAACATGCCTGAAAGCCCTCATATTGGAGAAGACTTGAATGTTTTGTCTCCCCAAATTTTGTACAGCAACAGAGCATCCCTTTGTGTTAAAGATGCTCAGTTTCTAGTATGCATTTATACTATAATGTCTATCTCAATTCTGTCTTTTGTAGGCTAAATACTCACTGTTTTTGCAGAAATGCATTCAATTACATTGCGGTTTTGCCATTGTCTTGACTCAATGTAGTTGATTATAAGGCTTTAAACTGACTGTTTCCTTTTTGTATTTGTGCCAACACAGACTTTAAAGGTGTCTTCACAGACRAATTTTCTCTCTCGAGCATGGTGGTATCCAATATTTTATTTCTTCGAGAAGAATGTGCAAGGCTCTGTTCCTTGCAGTTTTTCCTGGCCGATATCTTGGCCTCCCAGCTGCTTCAAATCTTCATGCAAGAAGTATTCACGGGTTCAGAAGACAGGAGAGGACAATGAAAAATCTACCTGAAGAAAAGAAGGAAAGCRTCAGCTCTGTTTTTTTCATCTTTGGTCTTTCTTTTTTCTTACCARAACTTTAATGCTGTAACCAAAGTTCTTAAGAGGACTGTAACTGAAGAAGTGGACCAAGCTTCTGTGCAATTGATTGGAAAGACAGTTGTAGACACATATATTGCCATTTCAGATGTTTTCCTCTCGTCAGGCTGTACAGACCTATTCTACTCTTCAGTGCTAATGAAATACTCCACTGATGGAATTTTTTTATTAAAGAAAAAATGGAGCAGGACTTTGCTTTATTAACGAGATAGAGGTGCCAAAGACCACAGTAGCACTTTCATTACTAACTGTCACTCATCCACAGAAGCACCCAAAAGTCTCATCTTCAGAGCTCTGGAGTGCGTAAGGGCAAAAACATATGAAAATGTAAAGGCACGATACTGGCATATTGAGGTGTATAAAAAAAATAACACAATTGTGGGAAGTGGTTTGTTGCATTATTCTTGCTAGTGAAGGTAAGGCTTTTGTGTAACTKGTACAGCTGGAAGCAAGTCTGACTTTTTTACGCACTGCAGGTATGAATATCTCATGACCCTAGAATACTACTTAACCAACATAAACTCCTATGTATTCTAATATATACCAATTTTTACATTTTTATTAGTAATTTTATATTTACACAGTTGTGCTACCTGATAATTTGCAAATTAGAAATAGCTGCTAACATCAGATCTCAAGGAGCCTAAAATTTTATTAATATAAGGGACACAGTTTCAAAGTCTAAATCTTGAATTGCAGCTGGCCTTGTGTATATAGCTATACAGTGCCTGTCAGTGTATATACATGCGTATACACACAAAAGCACACACCTTAAGACTGTTTACTGGGARGAGTGATCATAGAGTTGTTGATGCAGGCAGAAGTTCTACAGCTCTCACCTGCTTGAGGAATGCAAGGCCAGGTCCAAAATGGGGCTACATAAAACGAACTTTAATTATAGTAGCAGTCTCTTGCTGAAGCTATGTAGCAGGTTTGCTTGGGAACCATAGTTCTGCATTGATTTTTTTTTTTCTTTTATCTGTTAACACATTTCTGTAACTTCCTTTGAAAAAAAACCAAACAAAAAGTGCTAAGTTGAAATACATACAACAGCAGCATTTCTTCAATTACAATATCAAATGACTTCATATTAAATGAAAACTGTGGTAGAACTCACATGTAGATTCCTTTTTTYCCCAGAGTTTCGGTGCAGCTAAAATGGCTATTTAAACAAGTTGGCTGAGAATGTGGGAAACTACMGTGGGGTTAACATGTAACAAAACTACAGATTAACAGCTGCCTGTTTCTTGTTGGTTTATGTTTTGTGTTGTGAAAGCAAAGTAGAAAATCATCATGCCATGTTTAGCCATTTATATTCTGTATTGATTTCTGCAGTTGACTCAATATTATTTTCAAATATTCAGTAAAACCGAATGAAAAGATAAAACTACATTAGTGTCACCTCAGCACTTAATATAAAGGAAATGCTGCATATTTTAAGAATGTCTTGAACTGAGTGACAAGAGTGAACACAATTTGAATAATGACAACTTGKTTTTTAAAAGTCCAGGTAAAGTTATAAAATTCAATACAGAGTATTAAAGWATAATCTTTTTCATTTAAGGGGATTATTGCTCTGATTTGTACATGAGAATATTTTTGATGTGCATTTCAAATATTTTTGTGCATTATCAAAATAATAAAATAAAAAATGTTTCTTTCAGTACATCCTTGGAAAAACTTAGCTAAGAAAGAAATTCTGCTGGTGTTTGGTTTTGTTAATTTGAAAGAACTTAGTAGACTCTCCTAACATGCCCCTGAAGTGKTGTGTGTATGGGCATAGCTGTGCTTTCATTTGCTTGCTTCTAGCTGACCTTGAACAACTAAAAAGCCAGTAGCAAAACATTTTTGAATCTTTTTTCTCTATCATACAAATGAATTTATTCAAMATCAGTAGATCTCCCAAGCTACTTGTTATATCAGTACTACTTGACAGATCATAATCTTTTAAGTTAAAATCTAAGCTTTGTGATACCTTAAATATGGTCATGTTAAGCCACTTATAGTAATACTATCTTTTAGGAGTTACAAAGGGTTTTCACTAGTGGCCACCATGCCTTGAAAATAGCATGATGAAAAGCATTACATAGGGAGCTTAAACAGAGGTTTTCATCTGTTGGCTGAAAAATAAACACGTTGGTGGTGGTTATGCAGACAATTAACTATCTGGACTATGTCTCAGTGGGATTTCTGTAAYAGATCTGCAAAGTAGGTTTTCTTCATGCAGGATGAGTTGTTTGGAGGTTTCTATACCTTTTCCTGTTTCTGAAAGAAAAAAAATGTGAAAGTGATGAAATAGAGCCAAGTAAAGACTCTGCTTTTTTGGTCTGTGTGAGCTTTCATTCTACTGCTGAATTTGATAGAGACTTCTATTGTCAGMCAAAAGGAAAGTTTAGATAGCAGCTGTATCTCTAACGATTTGATTCCTCTTCTGGCTCAGCCCTCCCTTAAATGCTTAATATTTCTCCATTGTATGAAAGCTCTCAAAGCAGGATCTGTGTGTGTTTAATTAGCAGAAAGTGCCAATTCTCTATGCTCTCAGTAGTTTTTAATTGTTTTTACAAACTTGGATCATATAGCTGTATTTGAAGACCGTTTAGACCTATACATAAGGTMAAAAAATGGGGTAAGTAATGGTATATTCTAATTCTTATTGCTGAAGCAGTTTATCCACAATACAAACCACAACTKCTAAATGAAAATTCCTAATTTTAAGATCTTAGTGCTCATTGTATATGAATACCGTGAAGTTTCGTTTCATCCTAGGAGGCAAAATATTGTAGTAGGTAAAAAGAACAGGAGAAACTTGGACTTTACTTAGGCYTACATTCAAGTGATCAGTATATTTGGTCTGGATATGTCCAGTGCTTTCCAATATGTCACTCTTTTTCCCTAGTTACAGTAATATTTCTTACAGATGTCCCATGGGCTGCCCCTTTACTGTGACTATATTATGCTTCTCTCTGCTGAGGAGCATTTACCTATTAAACTTTACAGAGATTTAAAGCACTCCACTTGTATACTTGACCTGTCAGCATAACTTAAATGCTGATTGGTGCTTTATGAAACAAGCTTTCTTAAAATGCCTAACCTAAATTTAAATCTGGATTTAAAATGTTAACTTGAACATTTAAAGAAATGTGCTACTAAATGGTCGTGCTACAGATGCTTACTTGTAATGCCAGAAATTACTAATGTCTATTTGRGAACACTGTAAATGGACACTTTTTTTGGTACGTGCTTAGCACTCCCATGTGGACGTAAATGGTACTAAATGTTAGTCATCCTTCATTGCTGTTTTCTTGGAAAGATTGCCACRGGTGGGGTAGTAGCAAAAATAGCTGTGCTATTCATTGCTATGAATTCTATGCTATAAACTGGATTTGCTGCCCTCCTTAAAAAACAGTTGGGAGAGGAGATTAAAAAAAGGTATGCTAAAATACACTACCTTCATGTACTAGAGAAATAAAGCTCAGCAACAGATTTGGGAAGTCTTTTAAGAGATGAGAGACCATTCTCTTAATTGGATTATTGCAAATCCACTTACCAGGGTCTTAAATGAGAATCTGTTCAATCTCTGGCTTTCTCCTGTCAGTAGAATCTGGCTAGACAGTTCATCTTAAGTTTTTTGGTAGTAACSCAAATTATTATTCTTATTTCAGCAGATGTAAAATATAGCTTACTAGAGACTGATCCATTAACTTCATTGCAAGGTGATGTCTTTCCAGTAACTTTAAATGAAGTTCCCCATAGTTCTTTTTTTGTTGTTGTTGTTGTTGTTTTTTAGGGGTTTTTTTTTTTTTTTTTTTTTTTTTTTTTTTTTTTTTTTTTAAACTCCTAAACCTTGAATTTAAATGATTCATGGGGTAGTTTTGAAAATGGGTCCAAGCTGTCAAATGGACTGGAACCATTTTTCCTTACTGGCAGATCTAATAATTGTGATGCTTCATTGTCATCTTTATATTTTTACAATATATATGTTTTGGACTTACCTAGAACTCTTCTATGGCCATACAAAATTAGAGTGATTCTGTAATATTGAACACTTCTGTATGGAAGTGTTCTATTCCAGGCATTGTAAAATCAATGTCAGTTGTTCAGTTACTGAGAAAAGGGATCTTTAAATACTCCTGTTAGACATCATTCAGATGAGTGTTGCTGCTTAAGTGCACATGAGAAAAATATCCTAGCATGCCATTGAAGTAACTTTGCATATAAGTAAGCCTTCATGTGCTACTTTATGATGCTTCTTAGCATCTAAAAAAAAAGTGCTGTGAAACAGAGAATGGAAACAAAGGCCTTTTTTTTAATATTTATAAGAAGAAGGAAGATAAAAGCACTGAAGTAGATGATCGTCATATATTGCTTTTTACGTGAAACTGAGCTAAAGCTAACTTCTAAGAAATGTAGAATTAGATTGTGTAATAGTTCTGAAAAAAAACCTCTAGACCTATAAGGAAGCAGCAGTATTAGGCACATAATTCTATGGTACAASTGTTTATCTGTGCTTGTTCTTATCCATAACTTAAAATATAAAAACAAAACCCAACTTGGTGAGAGATGCTTGGAGATTAAAATACTTAAATATTATTAGTAGTTTTTTAAAGTTGTTTCTTCRAACTGTCACTAATAGTTTCTAAAACAAGAACAAAGTGCTGCAATGCTTAAAGCATGCTGAAGCATTTTTCTAGTTGGCTTATGTTTCCATGGATTTAACCTTATGATTAAATCTGACTAACCTGGGAAGCAGTACATAGGAATGTCAGGCTAGATATGGGTAGCTTATGTATTGTACGGAAACGTTCCAGTTAYGAACTCATCTTGACTAACAAAACACTCAATGCTTGAAAAATATTTAAAGATGAAGTAACAATACTGTTCAGCCTCTAATGTGTATCTGAAATACTGGTCTTGAGGATTTCTTCTCTTCTGCTGTAAGTTAGTGATTAAAAACCCACAAAGGTTTGACTTGTTTTTAGTGAAAATGTTTTAATTGTAAGGGACTTGGAGTTTAGCAAATTGTTTTTTGTGGCTCTTGGCTGTGCACTAACCTTTAAGATGCAAACTSGGTAGGAGAGGGCAGACTACTTCTTACCAGGAGGAGCAATGTGTAACTTGCTGAATTAAAAKTATATTGGCTGCATGCTACATGCAGTTTTATTCATACTATATAGTTGAAAAAATATGCTGTATTGTGCTGTTATGGCTAGTGTTTGCACTTTTTCAAAAGATTCTGTAGTGGTTGACCCAGTCCTTCTGTTAGATGACTGAGTGGTTTTTTCCTTTACTTTCCGTCTGTGTGACTAAACATAACTGGTTTTAGTTCTGGTAAACGTCAATGAAAAAACATAGATCCCTGGGATACAGTGCCTGAGGTGTTTTAAGGGTCTGTGTGTGGGTTTCTTCTAGGGGAAATAATCTTTTAAGCAATGCCTAAATAATATTAATGTCAGCTCTTTGCATTTGCTCTCAGCACAATAAAGTCTTTAGGAGGTTAGCATTTGTGGCACTGCAAAGAATTACTGCAGAAAAATCATCTTTGTGGCAATTGAGATCAATTTTCACAAAGTATCTTTGCTGAAATACATTTGGATGTGACTTTTGGGTTTTTGGGTTTGGGTTGTTTTTAATTAAGAGAGAAAGTAGTCAGAAATGAGTCTGAAGTAAAAGTATCTCGACCAGTTGGGGTCCAGACACTGCAGGCATAATGTGTGTGAAGAGGGGTCTCTGTGGCATAAGTAACATTGGATTTAGTACACAGTAGCTTCTCTAGGAAGGCAAACRTGGTTGTACTTGTACAGAGTAGGCTGTGAGCCATCTTTTCCTGTCCTTTTGAGCTTTTTTTCAGTCTGACTTTGCAGTGCTAGAGGTGCAATGGCCAAAAAGCCATGGTCATTTACAAATCAAAACTATGAAAGGAGCTGAAAAGGCAGATCTCTGTAAAAACAGTTATCAGAGAGCTGTGTTCTAATTCAACAGAACATACAGTTTGGTGTCGCTTCAAGTGTGTGTCACTTTTAAAATGAATGGGTCTATTTGCTTTCTAAATTACTGGGTTTTTTAAATTAAAGATGGCAGAAGCATTGAGAATACCAAGAGGAGATTGATCTCCCTCCTTACTTTCACCTCTCCCATTCAAGTGTTTGTGTATGAACCTTAAACACTATTACTAAACTCCAACCCCTCTTACATTTTGCGTAACTTACCAGTGCTTTGTTGCATCTGTGAAAACTGCATTTTCATTCCACTTCTTCAAAGTTGCCACTCAAAATGCTGCTTATGCTGAAGCCTGTGCTGCTCTGGACTCCTGTCTAACTACATCTGCTTCTACTAATTGTCTTTTCTAAATGGCTCAATACAGAAGAGTAGGATWTACATTTGAGAAGGCCTTATAATTAGCCATGAAGGCAAAAGACATTCTTGTCAGACACCTCTTTGCACAATTTGTACTTGGGAATAATTTCAGGTTTCAAAACCTAACATGCTAGGACATTGTTTGTTTGTTTTTTTTTCTCTCAGGACCTGAATCAAATTTTCTCCTTAAATGTTTAGTCCATTTGTTTGTGTTTATTTTGTAATTCAGGAGAGCATATGTGAGATGTAAAAAAGGTTCTGGTACCTTTTGAGGTCAGGGTTATACCAAGGAACCTGAAAGTAAAAGCAGAAATAATGGTTTGATGGCTGTGGTTCTTGTGCTTTCCATGTGACTCTGTGAACTCTGAAGACTTCCCTAAAAACAGCACAGGACATTACTTTGGCTGCTACACGGTTTCATCCATATCAGCTGACAGCTTTTCTTGCATGATTTCTCCTAGGTTGAATCCTATGTGTCTATAGCTTTGTGTGTTGATTGGAGCTATGTATCCAGCCTTGGAAAAACTAGGCAAGAAAAGGTGTTGGCTGCTGAGGAATCCTTTCTGATAATAGAAGAATGCTGTAATGCATGCACAAAAAGAAGCTGATAGATGGCATTTTTTGGTAGCTTTAGGGTCCAGTTCTGCAAATGCTCTTCAGTAGAATACTGCAATAACAAATGTTACTATTTAGAGACCTTTGGTGCTGTAGTTTGTACTGATGTTTGCAAACCGGATGTAATTTTCATATAAATTGTTTGCAATTAGCAAGAGCTGGCTTTTATGTTACAAAACTTTCAGGATGACACTTGATAGCTGATATTTTGTTAGGTAACTGAGTGTTTATGGTTTCCTGTATATGTGCAAGAGATACTAGAGCTAGAGTTGTGATTTGTGTTGCAATCTGTTCACTGTGTGTAAAAAACCCAAACCAAAACCAACTATTGCACTAGTTGTACTTTAAAAAAAAAAGCAATAAGGGGAGCATCTTGTAGCTTTTCTCTCCAAAGGTGCTATCTGTCATGATCACTTGCACTGTTGACCATTAATTTGGTAAAAACATGTTAAAGAAATTCTTCTATGTGGTTTACTTGGCACATACAAGTTGAAATTTTTTATGGTCAGCCTGTGTGCTAATGAATTCCATTGGACTATTTACGTGACCACCCACATCTTTAAAAATCAAAAACCTTTTATCCATTTATGGTGCTAATGGTCTCAATTATTATTAAGAGCTGGTATTCTCTTATTACACATGAACACTAAGGAAAGCTGTTGTGACCTTTTCAATAAAGCAAAATTTCTCTACATTTTAAGCCTGTTCCAAATGTTTTTTATATAAATACAATCTTTTTCTATTCCTGTTTTATATAAAAATGCAAAAAAGAAGTATTTCAATGCAGGAAAACATTAGGACTGTGTTCTAAATTATACGTCCAATTCTAAATTATCATACATTCTTAGGATAGCTAATCTTCTGGAACTTAGTCTAAAATGGAAGAATTGTACTGGGTTGGTTTAAGGGAMAGGCTAGTAGTTTAAAGAAAACCATTCTCCAAGGTCATCATCACTGTTGAAGCCTTGAAGCAGAGGGAGAGGATGTGAAATGGACAAAACTATTAGGAGGACAGTGTTTATGCAGTGTAGATGTATATTTTGCTGAAATTTTAAAAAAAAAAAAAACAACCAAAACAACTTGTGATGGACATAACTATGTAACTGTATCTAAAGAACAGAAGTGAAACAACAATTATCAAGGCAGTTCATAGTAGGACATTATAAAAACACATGAAAGAACCTTAAAGAGATTTCGATTGCGAAACAGCAAAGTAATTTTCTAGCTTTGTTTGCAAGCTTCACAAGCAACTTTTTCTTAAGGAACTATCTTGTGCCTTCTGTTGCAGAAGCTATTGTTGCCTTCCCCCCCTCTTCTGGTTATGATTTTATTGTATACAACAAAAGACAGTGCACTTCCAGATCTTTCCAAGAGGTGTTTTAGGACAGCAGTACCTACACTTTCTGTCCACAGAGAATATGAAGCCTTTAGTCCTTGATAACCTGTCGATTTGCAGTTGTGAAAGTAACTGCCTGTGGCAGGTACAGCTGTCCTGCCGTCAGCTCTTAAATGAGTAGGATGCCCTTAATTCATCCAGACACATGACTGTGTGGAGCAGGTGCCATGTCCAGGCCGGGGCAGCCTGGAACACAGCAGCATGCTCCTCCGCTCTGAAGTGGGTGTACCCACTTTGGCCTAAGGTTTTGGTCCCTAAGCTGCTGTCCTTCATATCCTAGAACAGGGTATCAAATCATCTGCACCTAGTACTTAAATAAAGGGGCTTCTCTAAGATCTATTTGATGGGATGTCTGTGTCTTCTATGCAAAGAATATTGCATGTTTAAAGTAACTTAATTTAAAACAGAAACAAGCCCACTATCTAGGATAAAACCAGGGCTGGCTGGGGTTTTTGTTGAGTGAAGGTGGATAATCTAGTATCAATAGTCCAGATTGTGTCTTCCTACTTGTCTCAGTGCCTGCTTTAATAGTATGACACCTGGAAAAGCCAAAGATTGAACAAAGTCATCCATAATAGTCCTAAACCACATTGAAAGATAAATTTCCTATCTTAATTACTAGAAGCTTTAGAGAAAATGGACTGTATTCTTTTAAATTTACAAATAAAAGTGCAATATCTACAGAAATATTAAGAGGTAAATGGGTGCATGTTTCAATGCACTGCAAAAACAAAACTGTGTGAGCATGTGACATGCACTTGACTGAGAGTGGTTTTTTTAGCCTTAGCATCTGTTGTGTTTCAGAAACATGTTTCAGTGCACTAGTGTAACTCAGAACTTTCAAATATTTTCAATGTGCTTTTGACAAGGAGAGTKTTTTTTATTCATAAAGTGCCTGTGGAAACAAAAATCCAAAAGTTGCCTGTGAGTTCAAATGAAGCATGTAAAACCACAGYCCATACTTGAAGAGAATGGATGCTAAGTCAGCAGCTGCAGCGGACAGCTGGTCGACATGTCCTAAGCCTTGACAGGATTCAAAGACTGAGATAAAGTTTGAGAGAAGAATATTATGTTGCTTTTGAGAGTTTACTGTGTTTATTATACTTCCAATGCTTCTGCTTGGGCCTTAACTTTGTAACTTGGTTATCCTTAAGGAAAAATTAGTTCCTTTGAACTATTCAATTTTTAATGCTTTTTAATAGTCTGGTGGGGATTTTTATTTGCTTGTTACATGAAGGTGTTTTTTGACCTGTTATAAGTGGAGTCACCAAATGCTTTGATTCCTTAATTTGGGGTARGAGTTGGAAGAATGTTTTTTTCTTCAGTGCAGAATTATAGGTGGCGTGGCTTTTATTGCATTGATGCTAGGACTGAGGAGGAATTATTTCCATACAAAGCACCATAGTGCTAGAACTTGTATATGCAGTTATTTGGGGTATGCAGTATATTAGTAAAGTTACTTGATATGTTTTGCTGTTGATTTCATACTTTAAAAAGAGGCCATKTGGTTTTGACTTAAATTGTAGAAACTGATTTTGAATAATTGCAACAGCTATTATTTTAACTTGAAACATCCACTTAAGTACTGGTGTGTTAGAGCAAGTTACATTTTATCACTTAAAATTTTGAAATTAATCTCATTTTTATCAAAATGAGTGTGGAATTTAATCTCTGGACACCCTAGAATTGGTCATGTGCCACTGAAACCAATTTTCAACTGCGTACATAGGGAAGGAAGGCCATTTTTTATCTAGTGCAGCTTCTTGACTAGACTGAGAAGGAAGTGAGGCTAGATTACTCTCGTACAAAGAAAACAGGCAAAAACAGTAATGTGTTTCAGCTGTGCTGAATAGCTTAGCTTCTTATTTTCATGCTACAGAACCAAAACTTTTCATAAGACTCAGATTTAAAATGTCTTTAGTTCAGCTGAATTTTCACTTGTTTTTATATATTTTTCTAATAGATGCATTTTATTGGTGTACATTGTAATTAGCCACTGAATTTCTGCCAAATATGGACAAAAAAACCCCTGAATTCTGTTCTGCCAGTTTCAATCTGTTCTTAGCTTTTCTATTTTGTTTAATCCAGGGCTGGTAAAATGTCCATTTGCTGTTTAGATTAAAGAGACGGTTGCCTTAATTGCTTAGAGGAAAACGGACCTTGACCATTTGAAGCTTAATGTATTTCTGAATTTGCTGTAACTTCTGTATGATTGCAATAAAACCTTTTTAATACACTTCAGCCGCTATTTTACGAGCAACTTGTCACTATCTTTACTGAATGTTCAATTATTTAAAAAATAGGTTTTTAATAGGTTTTTAACAATACCCTTTTAATCGATAAGCACCCTTTATTCTGTGCACTCTATTCTGTGCACCCTTTATTTCTTATTTTGGGGGGATCACTTTGAAGGAGTGCTGTGGGCAAAACATAAATACTTTTTTCTATTAGTGAGGGGATATCAAGAGCACTTACTAAAATCACTGATGCTGCAGCAAATTACTGGGAAGACCATACAGTGGCATTTTTCAACATCTGATTACCTCTCTAGGGGTTAAATTTTATATTGCTGCTCAGCTGGAAAAAGGGCACCAAGGTGTGTAATACAGGGAGGGGGGAGTTACCCTCAAAACCAGTTGTGGGTGCGTTTGAGAGAGTGGGGTGTTTGGGTGTGTTTTGGGGTTTTGTGCTTATGTTTGGAGCGTTTTATTACTGCTTTTATTTGAGGAAAAGGAGGAGAGCTACACATCTTTTTCCTCTAAAATTTAAGGCCCCCTCTTCGAAGCGTCTCTCGGTTGTTCTGCATTTGCCAAGCAGTTACGGAACCTGGAGCTTGGACGTGGTTCTAGGTTCGTCCTTAAGTCKGAAAGCAGAAAATTTTTGTGTATTACCTCGAACTGCCGGGTTTTTTGTGCTTCGAAACGGGGAAGAAGGATCATCCTTATTTCCTTCCCTTCGAAACCGCTACAAAAAAAAAGCTGTTTGCGTAACGAGCACTTGAAAGCAAGTGCTATGGGGGGGGGAGGGGGGCGCTCACTTTTTTTTTTTTTCTTACGCGAGCCGGACCTGTGTGCTTATTCTGTTTCATCCTTCATGAACGCGGGCTGTCCCCCCTCGCCGGCGGCGGGGGCGGTGTCGGGCCCGGCCCCTGTCCCTGTCCGTGTCCCTGTCCCTGCCCGCCCACAGCCCCGCCGGGCCGGGGTCAGAGCGCCGCCGGCCTCGCCTCCCGCCCGCCCCCGCCATCTTAAACCGCTGCGCGCCGGCTCTGAGGGCAGGCCGCCGGTGCCGCTGCTCGGGGACATGGCGGAGCCCAGCACGGCAGCTTGGACCTGGCTGCTGCGGCCGCCCACGGCCACCGAGCTGCTGCTGGTGGCCCTGTGCTGGCTCGGCTGCTACTGGCTGCTGCGGCGGCGGCTGCGGGCGCTGTCGGGGCTGCCGCCGGGCCCCGCGCCCTGGCCGGTCGTGGGCAACTTCGCCTTCGCCCTTCTGCCGCCTCCGCTGCTGCGCAGGTTTGCGGCGGACGTGCAGGGCGGCGACCGGGTCTCCCCCGTCTTCTCGCCCCACGTCTTCCTCACCGGCCTCACCAAGCTGTACGGCAACGTCTACCGGCTYTTCGTGGGCAGCCGCCCCATCATCTTCCTCAACACCTTCGGGACGGTGCGGGAGGCGCTGGTGCAGAAGGCGGAGGTGTTCAGCGACCGGCCCTCCGTGCCCATCGTCCTCATGATCACCCACAACAAGGGTAAGCGCCGAGTCCCGCTCTGCGAGCTGCCCCACGCCCGGTCATGGCCGGGATGATGCTTTGGAGCGAGAGATGCTCGGGACCGTGGCTGCTCTGCCGAACTTTATAAATGACTCCCACGAATTGTGGACTGAACTGTTTACTTCCTTTTTGCTCCTTGCGTGTGTCCCTCTCTCTGCTGCTGACAGAAAGCTCAGGGATGTTCGCCCTGCCTTGAGGTGGACGTGCAGCATCCCTGTGAAGTTGGCAGTGCTGTACCGTGCACCACGGAGCATCTCTGGGTGCCTGAAATGCCCGATCCCTTTAGCTCAGTGTACGGTAAAGCGGCTGAGGGAGCTGGGCTGGTTTAGCCTGGAGAAAAGGAGGCTTAGGAGAGACCTTAACACTCTCGACAACTGCCTGAAAAGGGATTGTAGCCAAGAGGGAGTAATCTCCTGGGTAATAAGTAATAGGACAAGAGGAAATGGCCTGAGGGTGCACTCGGGGAAGTTTAGGTTGGGCATTAGGARGAATTTCTTTACAGAAGGTGTGATTTGACAGTGTAATGGACTGCACAGGGAGATGGTGGAATCACCGTCCCTGGAGGTGTTTAAGGAAAGGCTGGATTTGGCGCTCGGTGCCGTGGTCCTGTTGGACACGGTGCTGTTCTGTCATGGGTTGGACTCAGTATCAGAGGTCTTTTTCAATCTCATTGATTCTGTGACTGGCATTTGTGTAGAGCTTTGAGGCACAGCTGGTCTGTCACCTGGGGGCTTTCTGATTTTGGCTGTGTGAGGGGAAGAAATTTCCAATGYTTGGGCAGTGGTGCGAAACTGAGCGCTGTTCCAGTTCTTACCAAGGTAGCAGTGGCAGTGAGCACTGTGGAGTCCTCTGGCTGTGCAGTCTGTGCTGCCTGCGTGCACGCTACTGTTCCTGAGATGCTTTCAAATATGTTCTGCTTGTCAAAACTTACTGACCATATTTGGGGTTTGGTTTTTTTTTTTTAAGAGTTCAAAGGAAAGTTACTAGCTGTTGCAGGAAAAAGGCATGAAGAGTTTAAACCCGTGCCAGCAATACTGCAGGTAGAATTTCTTCTTGTTTAGTTTTTAGATCATTACAGATATCAGTGTTTGTGGAAATCTACTTACCCTTTTTCAGTTTAGGAGGTGTACCCCAGAAGGCTTGTTAGTGTGCTAGCTTGTTGTGAAACTTACCTTTTTTACTTTTTTCCAAGGCTAGGGAAGTTTATTTTTTAAGTGTCTGAAACATTTCTATTTTTTTTTTCTTGTACCAGAATTGCCCTAATCAAGAGAAGGAGGAAGTGAGGGACCTAGATGATGTTTATTAAAATGCTATCAGGCAGCATTGCTGAAATAAGTTTGAAGAATAAAAAAGCATTCATTATATTGATTTAATAATACTGGTTCAAGACAGATCTTACTGGCACATTGTTATAATGTGTGACTATTTTTAGGTACAGTGTTTTAGCAAGAACTGGAGGAGGAAAGGGAAARAGGAGTTAGATAATTTTAGTACTGCTGTAAAACCTCATATTCATGCTTGTGGTAGATTTCTTTTTCCTTGAATGCCATGAATTTCATATGTTTTATGTTCTCTTTCAGATTTCTGTGAATATGGTGATGCAAAGAATAGCCAGGGCAGTTGGCAGCTTGCACCAGTGGGTGCTCCAGGAGAGYTGAAAGTATGAGGAGCCTGTTATCCATAGCAAGAGCATGCTGCAACCAAGTCCAGGGACAGTGCCTGTCTGTGTTACGCTGTGTCAGGGATATTGTGTTGCTCTAGGGTTTATCTCAGATGTGTGGCTCTATTGTGTGTAAGATGCAAATAAAAAAATTGTGCCTGGGGGAGAGCAGGTGGAAGTGTCAGAAATGGCAAATACTGCATTTCAGCAGCTAGATTAGCAAATGAGGAAGGCTTTCTTGGCTGGACAGAAAGTGCTGTAAGAACTTAAGGGAGAAGGTAAAGTCAGTTCTTACATGAAGGCTTTCGCACATATAGCTGCAGAAAGAGMAATAGTGGACTAGGGAGAAAAAAGGTATGTCTGTGGTTTGGTTTTAGTATTTTAAGTTTTTGTATTCTATAGCTATGAGAGCTAGCAAAGACTCAGTCGGCAGAGTAGATGGAGTCTTGAGTGGTTGTCTGTCATTATAACCCTGCCCTGTCTGTCTCCAGATGGCACATCTGACAAYAGAGAAGCTGAATGTTATTAAATGTCATGACTGCTGTGTTTGTCCATGTTCCCAGTATTGTAGAAACACTAGAGCTAGCAGTAAAAAAAAAAAAAGGGCAGAGGGGAGAGTATGTAAGCCTTTGGCAGAACTAGTTTCTTGTAAGGATTTGAATTTTTTCATGTAAAAAGGGGGAATAAAATTAACTCTCTGGTTCTGTGAGTTTGTTAGTTATATTGAAAGGTTTTAACTATCAGTTCATAGAAATTAGGCCTCTGTAATGAGCACGAAATCCTGGTTATTGTTGCTTCAGAATTTATTATTGTCTTTCCTTCAGATTTTTTTTTGTTATTGTTTGCTTTTTTATTTTGCTTTAGTTTGTTTGCAGGGGAGGTTGTTTTTGTTGTTTCCAGGTTTTTTTTTCTAAGTGTAGAGATGTTTATGCTGGGTAACTTGACCTTTTAGGGCAGGCAGAGTTTCTTGGAAATCARCAAAGGACTATTTCATTATTGTAGCTTGTTAGTGATGCAGTTGAGAGTTTGCTTTCTTCTCTTACCTCTGTTATTCTCTATTTGTGCTCTTTTTCCTCCTTGGTCTGTGTCCTATGTTATTCATTTCCAATTTACAAATTGGTTATTGGTATTCTTCAGCAATTTGGGGTTTGGGGACATCAGAAAACACCCTGGGGTGCAGCCACTCTGCAGAACTGCTACAGAGGCTCACTTGGTGTGGGGAGGTGTATTGTTGTTGGTGTTAGATTTTCTGTGGGGCTAGGAGAGTCTCTTACATTCCAGACAATCGGCCTGTTTTCTTTGATGAAAGTATTTGGATCCTAAAACTAATTTCCCTAACGAAAAGGGAAAAGGTTGTGGATTCATAGCCTGCTTTGGAGATGTTTGTTGTGGGATAGAAATAGTGATAACTTWGTTTTGTTCCAAGAAATCCATGTTTCTTTCACAACCCAGCCACAAACCCTGGAAACCCAAGTTGGTTCTTGGCCAAATTCAGCCCCAAATATGCCTGTTTTTTTTCACTTTACCTACTTGAGGACACCGGTGCTAACAGCAAACACTTGATAGAGGAAATCTGGAAAAGTTTTGCTTCTGTTTTTGAAGGGCCAGGAAGTGGGCATTTGAATAGATTGCCTAAGGARTGTCTTTATGCAGAGAAGATGAAATTCAGCTGATTGAGCTTGTCCTGACTCTTCATAATGTTCTTGTTTAGAATATTTGAAGCTTGGTCATGTGTTTGTATTCTTTTAGCATTAGGGGCTAGGAATAATAACTTGTAATAGAAATGTGGGCAATGTTARGTATTGAAATATGGTCCATCTTCCAGTACTTAATGTAGAACTTCTGTTCTCTTATGGCCATTTCTCCTTCTTTTAAAATCAGCATTAAGATTTGCAGTTGACAGAAGAATTGATATTGCTTTTATAAAGTAACTTTTTGTTTCCAGAGTAAACAAAAAAAAGATGTGGTGTCATTTTACTAGAAGAACAWATCCAGAATTAGGTCATGTTTGATGACTAAACTTTCTCAGGTTAACCATGGAGTACATTGGAAATAGCAGGTTGTTGTATTCATTACCCTGTGGTGTCTTTGGTGTGGTCTTTTAATTCAACAAAAGAGATGTTTCTGTTTGTAAGTGAGTAATAGAGRTTTAATTTAAATRGTGTTTCATGATGACACAATCATGCAGAACAAGTGCCTAGGGGCATCAAAACTGTTGAAATGCAAATCAAGCAGGTTTTTGCCAAGTGCCTCTGAACCTGTCTTCACCTTCCCAGTTTTCTTGCAGTGTGAATATCCTGTATTTCTATTACAACCTAAAGAAAAGCTTGCTTGTAATAGAAACACATGCAAAAAGTATTGAGAAGTTTGTATAACATGAAGGGGGAAAAMTGCAAATCAGTTTATGTTTGAATGTCTTCTATGATGCCTTGCTGAGTTCATGTCCCAGCACATGAAACAGAAAAGGTTGTCTAATATACATCCCAGACTAAGAGTTCCTCTTCTCCATCTAATTGTGTCTTGCAAAGTCTAATGAAGCTAAGATGTAACTTGAATATTCCGAAAGCTATTAGAAAGAACCTTGTGTTCTTCCTTTAACTCCTAGCCCAGTGCTTGGGAGAGATTTGCCATATATCATTTCCCTCTCGTCGGGGTCTCAGGTTGCAGGCCTGTTCAGCTATTTCTTACTGAATTTCATATTGAAAATTGGGCATTTTGGTTTCAGATTCTGTGTTGTTCTTTCAGGTGTTATTTTTGCACCTTATGGCCCTGTCTGGAAGCAACAGAGGAAATTCTCTCTCTCAACACTGCGACATTTTGGAGTAGGGAGACACAGCTTAGAGCCTAAAATCATCGAGGAGCTGAACTTTATAAAGGAGGAGATGCTGAAGCACGGAAAGGACTCATTTAATCCCTTCCCGATCATTCGCAACGCGGTGTCCAATGTTATCTGTTCCATGGCCTTTGGCAGGCGTTTCAACTATGAGGATGATGAGTTCAAGACGATGCTGAAGAACATGGCCCGTGCCCTGGAGCTGAGCGTCAACAACTACATGATCCTGGTCAACATCTGCCCTTGGCTCTACTACCTTCCCTTTGGGCCTTACCGGGAACTTCGGCAAACTGAGCTGGATATTACTGCTTTTCTGAAAAAAATTATTGCTCAGCACAGGGATACACTGGATGCAGCAAATCCCAGGGACTTCATTGATATGTACTTCATCCATGCAGAAGAAGAGAAGAACAAGGAGAGTAGTTTYAATGATGATTACCTGTTTTTTATCATTGGTGACCTCTTCATTGCAGGCACAGATACTACTTCCAACACATTGCTGTGGTGCCTGCTCTACATGTCTCTTTACCCTGAAGTACAAGGTGAGATTACTTTTATTCTAGGTGATTTATTCCAGACTGTAAAGCTCTAGATGGATGCTCAGAAACAGAAGCAAACAGCAACAGCGAAGAAACCATTTGGAGTGCCAACAGTTCGTGTGTATGTATAATTTGAAAGGCTGGTATGTAATCAGACATCATCTGTCCTGCTGTGCTATGATGATTTTCAGGCTAGTGCTATGTATTAAGTGCTAATGGCCCTTTAATATGTTTCTTCTGTTTTTTCTTCTGGGACAACTTTAATATGTTTCTTCTGTTTTTTTCTTCTGAGACAACTTTATCTTTCCCAGAGACTTTAGCATGAAAAACATAAAAACAATTGTGGCATTCCAGGCATACAGCAGTGATATAAGATGTGTGAAGACCATAGTGGTAAAGTCTGTTATTATACCTCCCTGAGCATGGAGGTTCTTGAGCCTAGCAGCAGAGTCTGGGGAAGTGAAACACTACCTACTGTGGAGGAAGATCAAATCAGTCAGCTTAAACAAATTGGGACTTGCACAAATGCACAGCAACAGCTGTCAGTGTCRTTGGAGGTCCTCTCTGCATCAGTTTTTGGGTGGTCATGGCCATTGGGTAGGTTTCTGATGATGAGGGGTGGAGGGGTGACACATGGAACATAGGATCACAAAGAAGAGGTGGAACTAATTGGTCTTGTTCAGTGTTAGGGGAAGGTGGCTGAGGGAAATCCTTCTACAAGTATCTGATCTAAAGGTGCTAAGCAGATGGAKGCAGTCTCCCCTGAGGTGTGTAGTGGAGGGAAGGGAAGAGACAACCTCCAAGAAGAAAATTCTGATCAGATACTGGGAAAAGAAATTGCCCAGTGAACATGATGAAGGAGGGACACAGATTGCCCTGAGTTTTAACAGAATCCCTGTTTTTGGAAATTTTCGAAACTAAGTGGGCCATGACCGTGAGTAGTCTCATCTACCCTTAAAGTTGGATCTGTCTGGAATAATCTCTTAAAATAGGTCAAGATCATAGTTTATTGCACAAATTCAACCAAACTGTTGACTAAAGATTGCAAAATAGGGCACCAGTCCAGTACATGGAAGAGAGAGTTCACTGGGGACAAATGTAAAATAAACTGCTATTGCATAGGCTTATTTTTCTGTTTTTAATGTTGTGTATTATCACTGCTTGACGTGATTCACAGTTACATGAATTTGATATATTCTAAATTACACAAATGAGATCTAGAAGAGTTTCGTGTTTGTTTTTTTGACCTCTTTCCCTTCTGGGTATGTGCTAGTCAGTTTTCACTCTTCTTCTGATCTCTAGCAGTTTTATTGCTTCTCTCTGCCTCTTTCTTATGCTTTGGCTCTTAACAAGTAATTTAAATATGCTCAGTGTTCCAGACTGTATCACTTTGCTATGGAATATGATTCTATTATTTTTGGTATCCCATTTCTTACATATTCTGATTGCCTTGGAGTTATGTATGTGCCTCTTTTTATTCCTGGCAATTAATTTTTCTTAAATGTGTTTAAGAACACATTTAAGAGAAAATACCTAGAGAAAATACCTGAATTGTGTATGTTTTAGAAGAAGCAAAAGTTGCTTGCAGACATAGAAAGGCAAACTTAAGGGTTATCATAGGAAAAAAAAAACAAAGGAAAAAAAACAGCAGGAATTGTCTGTTTCTCTTTGGAAAACAGTTTTGCTTTTTAGAGAGAAATGGAGAAAGATGTGGATGGAAATGTGGTGAGGCTATGGGAGGTATTTGGTTTGTTCTTTTCCCTGACTTTTTTTTTGATGCTTGACTGCTGAAGATSTGTGAGATTTTTAAATATATGTAAAGTGGTGGAGCAGCTCAAATAACATGCAGTTGCAGAGACTGCTGAAGTTTACATTTTGCAGTTGCTAATGTGAGCAGCAGTTTGGCTGTTCTCTGTATAGTTCATCATATCTCTGAACAAATGAGAGTAGAAACTGAACAAATGAGTAGTTGGGAATAAAGTGCTGGTGTGACATTTGACATGAGACAATCTCCTTAATTTTTTCTTTGATATATTAAAAACTTTATTTATTTGTTTAAATTACTGTGGACATGCGTGCCTGAATACAGCGCCATGATGTGTCCCAATAAAAGTAGTAAAGCCCCCTCAAAAAAGGTACTGGAGAGCCACGCKGTCAGCCCGTCTCTTGCTGTATACTTCCTGTATTTTTTAATGTTTCTCATTCATGAGTTTTTCTGCTGGCAAACCCAGTAGGTGGCAGCAGCGRCTCGTTAAACTCAGTTCAGGCAGCACTTGTGGATGCTTGGGAAACTGGGACACTTTTTGTGCATTGAATTTTTATATAATCTTGTATCACTGGTAAGGAGAGAAAAGAGCAAAGACTCAAAGTATCAGCAGCCTGGTTGGAAAAGGCAAGCAGGACAACCACAAAGTATGCAGGATATAAAGGGTAAAAAARGAAAACTGACTTACATTATTTTTGATTAAAGGTTAGTTTTGAGGTCTCCTCTTTCAAGGTTGTCTTTTGTAGACATTTTTTGGGGATCTGTGTAGCCAATTCYAAGTTACTTGCAAGAAAAGGCACATCATCTTGTATGTACATAGGTAAAGCAAATCCTGAATCTTGGAAACTTCTATGAAGAGGATTACTTGTATGCTGATCTTTCAGTGAAATGAAAGGGACAAGCAAATAATTTGATATTTTTTTCTTCCAATGAATGAGATTCTCTTCTTTTTGTTTTGACTTTGCAGGAGGGCTGTGTGGGAAAGAAGCATCTGCTGGTGCTTTTGGGGGGAATAGGACRTAGCTGAGTTTAGGTTCTGTGAATAGAAAGTAGGAAATGGCAAGAATTAATTAAACGGCTTCAATGCTTGCAGTAACAGCACCAGAATTCCTGCTCCAGAATGAAGTATCTAAAGCAGCTGCATGAAAAACTTTCCCATCTCTTCATTCTCAGGCACATACTGCATGCAGTTCTCTTACTGCTGCAGTTTTTAATTGCAGAGCAGAAGCTTGATGTTTTCATCATTCAAATTACTGTGTAATTAAACTCCTAAAGATCATGAATACATTTGGAATTGCAATAGGACTTTTCCTGTACTTTTCCAATACTGAAGTGCTAGCAATGTCTGTCATCTCAGTAGCTTTACTCTTGACAGTATCAAGATGGTGCTTGATCATTTTCTTCTTAACTGAGTCTGTTCTTAAGGCTAATATTGGCATAGCTGTTTCTGCTAGGAATCACACCTTGAAGTAATTTTTGAGAAACCTGTGTAAACAATGAAGCAAGCATAGGTAGATGACATTGAGATGATGTCTTCTTGCATACTGTGTCTTGACTTTTTTATTTTTCTTGCTCCCTTTGAATAGAGAAGGTTCATGCAGAAATCGAAGCAGTTCTAGGACGTGACARAGTGCCCTCTCTTGCTCACAAGGCTCAAATGCCCTTCACAGAGGCAACCATTATGGAAGTGCAGAGGATGACTGCAGTTGTTCCCCTTTCTATTCCTCGAATGGCCTCAGAAACTGCTGGTAAGCATTTCTAGAGACTTGTGGCAACAGCATTTCTTCTGGGGATGAGGATCTGATGGGACATCTAGTGATAATTAACAAAGACCTCATTTATGTACTGGACATGCAAAACAAATATTTTAAATGCCCTTTATARGCAGTAGGTGGCCTTGACATACTTGTCTATGTAAGCAGATGYCTGACCTAACATACAGAAGTTTTTCGTAATCTTGAGTAATTCTTTTTTGGGGGTCAGCTTGTATTTACTRATGCGCTTAGTCATAGCTGGCAGCTGAGACTACACCTTTGTACCTGAAACAACAGAGTGGTTTTTGACATTCCGACMCAGAGGTCTGAAAACATCAGATTAGAGTAGCTGGTTTGCTAAAGGTTTGCACCAYTGACCTCCTCAGGTACAGGAAACATTAGGAAATGCCCTCTTCCAACTCATCTGTATGTTTTCTTAAACATAGCTGAGCACTGGCTAAAGTCAGTGTGAGATAGCAATACTTGAYTTTTAAACCCATTTCTGAATTGATCTGCTTTTTAAAAATATTTTGATTTGCAGGACAGTGAGGTATAGCAAGCTAAAACGAGACTAGGCATTTCAAAACCCTTGTGTGACAGCAGTTCAAAATCCATTCTTTGACTGTGTTGGGGCTCTGTGACAGCACAGGAACAGAAGGAAAGTGGGTCACAGCATTGGTATKCTGCAGAGTGCATTTCTGACAATGGCTGCTTCCTTCTCTGTGCAGAAGCTGCTGGTGTAAGTTGATGTCTTTCCAGCTGCTCAGGCCTGTGTGATTCTGACTCAAGCAGGATAGCAGAGATYGCTTTGCCTTAAGCTTTTGCTACATTTGCAGCTCACAGCTAGGGATCGATACCATTTTTTGTGACATCATCTAGTTGTCTTTTTACTGTAATGTTTCCCATGTTTCCATCTAGCACCTTGTCATATCTTTGTCTCTGCTTTTGTTTAAAGTGCTCCAGGGATACACTATTCCTAAGGGTAGTGTGATTGTGCCCAACCTGTGGTCAGTACAYAGAGATCCTAATATTTGGGAGAAGCCTGATGAATTTCGACCATCGAGATTTCTGGATGAAAATGGCCAGTTAATAAAGAAAGAGGCATTCATTCCTTTTGGAATGGGTAAGATAATCCACCTGGAGTCATTAGGTGGGTGGGTTGGGTGGGTGTATGGGTGGGTGGTGGTGTTTCAAGTGTAGGGCCTCGGAGGTGGAAGATGTAAAAGTCGCACATAGGACTAATTCTAGACGTAGATATATTATTGCAGTTGGTGGCTTGCAAAATAGTTGGGGTTCCTAAATTGCCAGTTGCCAGACAGAAATTATGAGTTGTCCTTTGATACTACTTTTGCTGTGGGTGTATATGCTGTTAATATGAAGTAGTACAGCTGAGCAAGGGAGTTTCAGGATTCATAGCTTAATAGTAGTTTGAGCCTTTCTGTGTTTGAACTGTGGTAGCATAGGAATTACACGTGTGTTAACAAAAGGTCAAAGCCAGTAATGTATCTCCTTTAACTGTTCCTTTAGGTAAACGTGTGTGCATGGGAGAGCAGTTGGCAAAAATGGAGCTGTTCTTGATTTTTACAAGTCTAATGCAAAGTTTTACCTTTATGTACCCTGAAAATGCTGCAAAACCATCCATGGAGGGAAGGTTTGGTCTAACTTTAGCTCCATGTCCATTCAACATAATAGCTTTGAAGAAATGATACAACATCAAAAAAYATTAAGCGAAGAAATACTGCACTTTTAAAATACAGCCTTTTTTATTTTATTTYCAGCTTATTTTGTTACTTTCTTTCCAGAAAAAAAAMCCCAACTGCATAGGCTTTCCTAGTCAGTGAGAATGATTCATTTAGACTTCTGGAAAGAAAAGATATTTTTTGTCAGCTGTTGCATTCCACAAATGAACTGACAGCATAGTTTTTAATTTGATATTAAAACTTGGTGGGTTTAACTTTTTTAACTTTTGTCTATTACTGTCAGTTTGTCAAATGGTGATTATGGGAGAATGGTCCAAAACATTTGTTACTGCTCTAGCAAATAGTAATTGCAAAAAATTGTGAAGGCAGCATGTAAACATTTCATTTATCAAAGGAGTGGAGCACATAATGTAATATTAAAAGTATTATTAGGAGAGGTTGTTAGCATTTGCTGAGTAAAGAAACATTGTAACTGAGCTTAAATAATTACATATACTTTTTGAAAATTACTACATTCTTGACATTCAGGGCTCACTATAAAAAAGCAGGTACCAACTCTGAAAACCCAGGGTTTGAGGCCAAATGAATCCTTGATTATGCCATATTCTCAACATGAAATGATTGTGAAGCATCTGGATGCAGRTGTTTTATCTCAGAATTTAAATGAGAGCGGAATTCTCTAACAAGAAGCAGCAGAACTCTGTTCTCTCTGGTGCCAAACATATTCAAGACAATATTTGTGCTGCCTTTTAGCATCCTGCCTCTTGCTGCCTCAAGGCAGCAGTGGCTGCAGGCTGGATGGGACCAGTGGCTGCTCCCTGGGGAAAACACTGCATGTGTAGTTCTGAACTCGAGGCTTGCACTCAGGTTTTTCATCCACAGGCAGTGGGGATAGTACTGTCACAATCTCTGGCTTTGGGAACTGGAGTCTTCAAATATGGCATCACTACAGCATTACAGGTGAAGGCCTTATTCATTTACCATGGAACAGGAGGAAGCTGACAAACTTGAGGTTTTAATATAATGGCTCTCCATTATCTTCCACACAGTACAAATATTTTATAGTCTGTACAGTATTTGTGTATCAGTACCTTACTCTTTGCATGTGCAGAATATAAGTGCTGTTAACCACTGTCACACCAACTGCCAAGGAAATCTCATGTTAGGTGTTTCAGAAAGGGCACTCAGTCTTGCCTTATATTTCAACATGGAAAGTGATCTTTTGGGGGAATATGTAACAATTAACCTTTAAACAGTTTTTCTTAATTACTCTTAAATCTCTTTACACTCCTTTTGATCTGTCAGAATTTCATATCACATTAATTAAGTTCTTATATATTCTTCTAAAGATTTTTTTGCCTCACTGGGGATCAAGAGAATACCAGGAGCCCTCCGAATGTCAATTTTARAAGACTGGAATGAGAATTTGACTGTAATTTAGAATTGGGTATTCCACAGCAGAAACTAAACCTCAATTGTAAAAGAAAAGACAACTTTTCAGCTTTAARTTAATGTCTGATTTTGTTACTTTTAACCTTGAAGTTTTGAAAGCCAGGTAGTGCCTAACAAAGACTGTAAGGAGCCTTAATTTCTGAATTATGTGTTTCGTTGGTCAGGTATCCCACTGTGTGAGAACTTTCAATTCTTAAATAGTTAAACTTTGGACTAACAAGACTTGTATTACTTCTTTTTTTTTTTTTTTTGGTATCAAATTTTTCAAAAGTTAGCACAATAAAAAGTTGAGTTTGGACCAGTGCTGATAAACTTGTTTTAAAAACCTGACAGTATTTGAGAATTAAGCACTTTCTTTAATTTMATTTTATATTTTCCAGTGAATAAATAGATTCTATAGAGTTGGGTTTTTTGTCTGGAAATCCTAAAATTATGCTTAATTGAGAAGCTAAAATTAAGTGCTGATAATATTTATCTTTCTGTTGAAATGCCTGTTTAAGCAACATAATGATGTTGGTGTGCAACTGATCACTTGTACAAAATACCTGTCCTTTTAATCAATGAGGACACATTTGAAAAGCACTTTAGKATTTTTTTACAGATTCCAAAGAAGATGCAATTTGCATAATCCCCTCGTATGTGAAACTGTACATATTTGTGCTTGTTTTGCCTGCCAAGTTTAGTTTAAAATGTCACCTTTGAAAACTACCCTTTGAAAATTAGCCTTCTACAGATACTACTTTGAGGATGTGCTTTTTGGTGATACCTGTAATCAAATGCTGCATCGTGCGACAAGCTAAAATTAGTGATGAAAAGTTTCAACCACGTCAAGGTCTGCCAGAATACAGGATGCTGTTGGAAATGACAGTAAAGACCTGCCTTTCATACCTTCCAGATGCACTGAAATTTTCACAGGATACCATGAAAGTAGCTAAACAACAGCACAAAAGCAACAAAATCTTTGTGGTTTTCAAAGTGTTTCCATCTTCAGCAAACTAAAATGGTAGCAGATTTGGTTTGTGTTTGTAAATGTATCCTCCCCCTCTCTTTTTTTTAGCATACGAAGCATCTCAAATACCTTGTTGAAAAATGTATGTTTATGTAAGTGGGTGACTTTCTGAATGCAGAAAATATCTTTATTACTAAAATTACTTCAGACTTTGCTTCAATATATTTGTAYTTTGAATAAAGTAATTCCCAAGTAAGTGTTTCACGGCTTTGCAGTCTTTTCAGTGAGTTCCACTTTCTGACTAWGCTTGCGGTTGGCATCTTGCAAAAAAAGCTTTTCAGTAAGAAAATGTTAAAAATGCTTTGGGTGAGGAGTGAAGGAGGTGGGGAAAAAAAGTGAAATTAAGAAAATAACACTGCCAGGTATGTTATGATCAAATGATAGAGTATGTTTTAAAAWTACTGTTACCCATAATAAAAAACGAGGGAATGGTAGAGATGAGGAAGGTAAAAAAAAAGCAAATGAGCTGTCAGCAAGAGGAGGTGTGCAGTCTGCAGGAAATAAAATGCTGGGCAGAAGTTAAAGTGTGGGGTTTTTTGTACTCCTGACATAGAGGAGGGGAGAGGGCAGAGAGGGAAGGAAGTGCCCAGGGGGAGCCTGGSGTAGAGGGCAGAGAGACCCCAAAGGGTCTCAGGAGATGCTTCCACATGGAAGGGGAGGGCTGAGCAGGATACAGCTGAAGTGCTTGCAGGAAAAGGGTGGGTATCGGCACTGGTGTTAACCCGGAGTGGGCACTCAGGAACAATAGCTGTAGGTGCAAATCTCGTGTCTTGCACCCAGGAATTAGGTTGCAGGTTCTTTGGCATAGTGCTATTTTTAATTTTTTTTTTTTGGAGGGGGGAGGTGAAATTCATTAGTTACCATTCAGTTGTCATTTGTATACAGAAAGATCAGTAAGGGTGAGTTTCCAGGTAAAGCTGTTTCCACAGSCACTTCCTGCACCTGCTTTATCCAGGGGAATTTTTTGTGGTAGGCTTTTGGTACAAAGTGCAGAGTTATGAGAATACAACACTTACTCTATTTGAATAAAACAAGCTGYTTAATGTTTACCCCGATGCTGACTCTGTTAGTAATTGCTACTGTGTTGTCAGCTGCTACTGTTGCTGGCTTGAAATGCAGGTCTTTCTGGTGATAAATGAATTGGATGGAAAATCAGGGCAGTCTGCAGCTGATACGATTCGGCTGTTAATGTTTATAATGGAAGAATTTTTGTTGTTGCTTTATTATATTTGTTTATTACGTAGCTTGTGCTAGCCTGGAAATAAAGTCCCCTTCTAGTCAGGAAACATTTGTTGTGGATAGGGAGCTTCTAATGATGTGAACGGGAAGAACACTGAGAGTGTCCAGAGAAAGGCAAAGAGTCTGGGGTGGGGTCTGGAGGGTAATTCCTGTGAGGAGCGGCTGAGGGAGCTGGGGTTGTTCAGCCTGGAGAAAAGGGGGCTCAGGGGAGACCTTATGGCTCTCTAAACTCTCTGAAAGGAGGGTGTAGCCAGGGGGGTCGGCATCTTCCAGGCAAGCTGTGACAAGATGAGAAGACACAGTCTTAAACTGTATCAGGAGAGGTTTGGTTGAACTCTTGACAGAAAGGGTAATTTAACATTGGAATGGGCCACCCAGGGAGGTGGGGGTTTCACCGTTTCCTGGAGGTGTTTAAGGAGATTGGATGTGGCACTTGGTGCCATGGTCTGGTTGACACSGTGGTGTTCGGTCATGGGTTGGACTCCATGGTCTCAGAGGTCTTTTCCAACCTCATTGATTCTGCGATTGTGAGCTTGAGCAGCAGTAGCAGTAAGGTGAGCTCTGAGGGCAGCGCGGTGACCTCTGCGGCAAAGGGCGGCCATCAGCACCAGCCGGGGCTAGCGGGAGCTCCGGTCGTGCTGACCTTGGCCTTGCTGCTTGACTCTTGAGGAATCAGAAGTAGCGAAGGTGGAAGACCCAACGCGCCTCTCCCCTCGGCGGGCMGCCGGGACCAGCCACCACCCTCCGGGGCGGAGCGCGGCCCTCGCYCCGCCCGTCCCGGCCCGTCCTGTCCCGGCCCCGCCGYTCKCTCCGCGCCTTCGCCATGGCCTTCGCCACCCGCCACTTCGTGCGCGCCGCCTCCTCCAGCGCCGCCACGGCGGCCGCCAAGAAGCTGCTCATCAAGCATGTCACGGTCATCGGCGGCGGCCTCATGGGCGCCGGCATCGCCCAGGTGAGCGCGGTGCGGTGGCCCGGCCGCGGGGCGGGGGACGCGGAGGCGCCATGGCGGCCGCGGGGCGGCGGGGCCCGGCCAGTGCTCGGGGCCGCGGGGGGAGCCCTGCGGGCAGCGCGGGCCCTKCCCGGGCTGCTGCTCCTGCCCTCCCTGCGCGTCCTGCGCTCCGCCTGGGCTCTTCTCTCGGAGCTCCGCCTGGGCTCTTCTCTCGGAGCTCCGCCTGGGCTCTTCTCTCGGAGCTCCGCCTGGGCTCTTCTCTCGGAGCTCCGCCTGGGCTCTTCCCTCGCAGCTGAGCCCGGCCCCGGAGCGGCGCTCCGCGCTGTCCCCGGACGGGAAAGGGCGAGCCAAAGGGAGGACGAGCGGTCCGCCGGCGGACCAGCATTAATAAAACCCACGGCAAAACAAACTAACCCTCCCAYCGCTTCTCTGAACGTGTTATAGTTCGTGTTCAACCTCCTCCGCTCTGTGCCTTTCCAGGCTGTGTGTATGTGTGAGGCAGTGGCAGCGCTGCCAGAGTGCAGCGGGTTTGGGTCTGACTGCTGCCGAGGGGGCACAGAGTATTGCTGCTCCGCTGCGCTCTGCTTGATCAACTTCCACACTT